TTACTTATCTATCAGGATACTCTCTATTTTTTTACATCTCCTTTTTTTTTTATAGATCTTTATTGGAGTATAATTGCTTCACAATACTGTGTTAGTTTCTGTTGTACAACAAAATGAATCAGCCATACATATATCCCCATATCCCCTCCCTCTTGAGCCTCCCTTCCACCCTCCCTATCCCACTTAGTAACAGCTATGTGGCTCATTCTTTGTGTGTGTAAATAAAAATTCATAAGCTAAATCAGTGATTTTTTTGTAGATAAGAATTATTGGCTTCTCTACAAGTGTCAAGGTGTATCCATTATAATTTTTCAACAGAACGACTTTGGACATCAATCACTGAAGATTGGCAGGCACCAATTCTAAATATTTTAAAGATTTTATTCCTACACACCAATATAATTTCTAAAGTTTAATGCTTATCACCTTCTTTCTGTTCTTGTCCTTCAAAATATTACTTTATGGCATTTGCTGTCCGTAAATAGTCCAAGTCAATTTAAAATCACATAATTTAAAAACTCTTAGTGTTGTTCATTTGTAAATGAATATTTTTGTTCATATGTATTCGTAATAAAGTTTATGAGCTGACTACAACAATCAGTTATAGTGAAGGGCTGACTAATAAAAGTAAAAATGTGAATTAAGTCCATTCTGTAAAAGAATCATTAAATAGACCTATCAGTACAACCTCACATACACTCACAGGAAACTACCTAAGTAAACTTCAAATGCTATATTTTTAGGAATTCATTGGCTATGGTAGATAGCTGTACTCACTCATGAATAACTGAGATAATTTTTATGAATTCATTTTATCTATGTCATTAACTCACCAAATGATGTGTTTCACATTAAAATAAAAACACTCTGTCTGTAAAACCAGCATGTCAGGGTACCGGCATACCATGATCTGTATTACTCCTTTAATTATTTTGTAACTTTTTGTCTCTGTTTTGCCTTTAAATTTTCCAGTTTTTTGCTCTATGAATCTTTAACATTTACTTCTGTTTTACAATCCCATTTCCTTTGGTTTGAAAATAAAATACTGCATAAGACTTGATGCAAAGAACTGAGAAAATATTAATAGACCAAACAACAACTTTCATGTTGAGTGTGAGCTTTTCTACTAATTTTAAGGCTTTGGGGGAAGGTTACTTTTCTCAAACTCTAAAATGTTTCTAGCTGAGTCTACTTGCACCCAGTGGGGACTGACCTAAAAACTAGCATCAAATATTCTATAGTTATGAGGATAAACAGGATTTCCCAGTCCTGAAAGTGTGCAGAATCCTTGTGATGGAAAAAAAAGGGCGCTTCTCTATTAGATAGTCCATACATAACCACATGTCTTCACAGCTGTAATTCCTGCTCATTACTCGGTGTAAATGTGCATAATATTTCCTGAAGAAGAACATTAGTCAGCTCATAAATTAACTGATTTACAAGACAACTATCTTTCCACAAGTGCCTTAAACGTTTGTTGTGAATTTAGTGACTATTAGGTGATATAGAACACTGGATAAAGCAGAATAGTTCGAAATGGTTGATTAGATTAATGTATAATTGATATATTGTGTATCCTAATGGAAATTCTATGTTATAAAACAATTAGTATTGTTTATATGTAATGTGAGTTCTGATGTTTGGAGCAGAATAATTCACATTTATTAATTTCGCTATGTTTCTCTAAACATTTTTAGGGAGAGGAGCAGAGGATAAGTTTTACTTTGGTTGAGTCAGTTAACTTTTTGTGTTACTTTTCAGCCTTATAGACTTTTTATTTCCCCATGATAGTAAAAAAGATACATAACTTAAATTTAAAATTGTTGATAGAAATATGGTGAGAATTTTAATTTCATCAGTTAGGTAAAATAAAACATATAACAGGTATTTGAAGACCTCCACAATTTAAATGGTCTATATTGGCAAGGGGAAATTTATGTATATATTGAGTATTTTTTACCTATTGATGATACACTTATCAGTCAATGAATATTTACTGTTCTGCAGATCTGTGTACCTGTTTTATTAAAAAGTATAAAGAAAAACGTCTGTGAAAATAATTGCTATTTTAAAATAAAAGATTCATTAGAGAAAAATTTAGAAAGCAAAAAGTAGAAAGAAGGAAAACAATAAGCACATCACTTGAAGCCAATTGCTATAATAGCTATGTGCATTTTCTTTTAGTCTTATATCCCTTTTGATTTTTAACACAATTTATTATCAATCAACAAATTAATAATAACATAGAATATAGAATAATATAGAATAATAAAACAATATATTTTGGTCCTATCAAGATTATTTTTCTTTAAGAAATTAAGAAATAGTAGACTTTTAATTGAAAATTCTTTTAGTCTTAGCGTTTCAGTTTCATTTTTATGTACTTTATTATAGCTATAACCATAATCATTCTTTGTATCTTTATTTTTTTATTTAACATTATAAAATTTGCATTTCTGCATGTTATTTCTGAAACTAGTTTTAATTCTATATGAATTTATATATAGATATAGATTTCTGTTTTCATTGGATATTTTTGCCAATCTGAAGTTATGATTAATAGCACTCCAGTGAATATTACATGTGTTTGTTCTTAATCTTTTGATTGATTCCCAGAAGCGAAATTACTGAGTCAAAGGCACTAGTAATTATTATTGTGGTTACTATCCATGAAAATCAAATAGTTGAAAAGTGATGAGTACTTATAAGTGGGTCAGAGCTTGTATTATAAATGATAACTTGAGAAAAGGTTTCAGAAATGAATCAGAGAGAAATGTAATCATTTTTCATTCTTCAAGGTAAAAGCCAGTAAAGAAAGAGTAGCAATACAATAGAGGAAAAGGAACGAGAAGCGGATCAATGCCCTGTTATTTCCATAGCACGGGGGACTAAGAAAATATAATAGCTGTTGATCTCTTCTGTTTAAAAAAATAATACAAGTAACTTATAAGACGTAATAAAACTCATCCATTAGCCTGTAATGAGAGAAAACCTACTATTTGATTCATTCGCTTTGTGTGTACATGTGTGTGTTTCTGGGGAGAAGAGGGTGTATAAAATGAGATAATACTATATGTATGATTTGATAATCCTGCTTTTGTTATTTTACATAATATGAACATTTCTCTGTTACTTTAAAAAATTTATGATATTTAGTGGCTGCATAATATTCCATAATTTATTTATTTTTTCATTCATATTTATCTTGTTTCTACCTTTTATGGCTATTATAAATATCACTTCAGTGAACATTCTTATAAGCAATTTTGGTACTTCTGATAATGCAATTAGAGTAAATACCTATAATTGGAATTACTAGTTTAAAGGTAATGCCGTTTATGGATTTCTGAAATTCATCTAAGTGGAGGTAGGGTTTATCTTTTAAATTTCTGTAGTTAAAGTCTCCCTTAGGTTACTTTGATGCTGTATAACCTCAGACACCTTATTTGGCTCTCAGGTCTCTAGTTATCCTTCCTTGGACAAATATATGACTATCAGACATTTAAGTCGTTCATCAGTGTCATGAACTAAAGGGAATTTGGGGAGGGTCAGGTAACAAATGATACTGCTCAAGATTTATTAAATATCTATTATGGTTATTTTATGCTGATCATTTGATCACATGGTGGTTTTAACCACCTCCTCAATAATATATATGTTTTCTCTCTCCATACCAGAGTGCCTCGTGGTTCTCTAAGGATTTCCAAACTGCCTGTGTGGGGTGGGCAAAGAATCTGTAATCTCACTCAGCCTCATCCTCTCTCTCTCTGTCTCTCTCTGTGTCTCTGTCTTGTTCTCTCTCCCTCCCCCTCTCTCTTATTTCTCTGGTTAACACACTATCTTTTCTTTCCAGTGGTCTGACTGGCCTGAAGTGTTACAAGTAGTCTTTCTTCTTCTTTTTTCCTGTCAGTTCTGACTTTAATCTTAATAATGAGAGCAGATATTCACTCATCTCTGTGGTTAGAGTGCAGAAAGAATAAATCTTTGGTAGCGTGGCTCTAGGAAGATTTTTTTTTTTTTTCACCTAGAAATATTCCCCGTCTTTTTTCTCTTTAAAACTTTCCCTTTCCTACAGAAGAACAGAGAACACAGTTGACAGCCCTTCAGAAGCCAGGGACACTTACGGAATTGCCTCAGCAGAAAAGCCTTTCAGCACTTAATCTCTGAAGCTTCTTCATTTCCCTTTGTTTGGGCAACTAAGTACTCTTGACTCAGGATGGTGAACTATTGATTTCAGGTCACCAGTGGGCGTTGCTCTGAAGTGAATAGTTGATTCCTGTGTTCTAGAATACTAGAATTTTAAAAAGACATCCACATTTGACTACAGTACAGCACCCTTTTTGGAACTGTTTATGACATAGCAAATCTGGGCCTCCATGTTTTACCCAATTTAGCCTCTTCGGCTCTATTATTGTGGACTAGAGCTCTCTCCCTGGCCCTGAGGCCTTGCATAAAGTTTGGCTCGGTGAAAAGAGAAGGATATCCTTTGGGAATCAGTGATGGTGAGGTTTTGTTTGCCTGGAGCACAAGACTTAGTTGCTGAATAATGTATGTTTAACGTATGTCAAGTCAGTTCCAGATCTATAAAGGCTATAACAGGAGATCCTTGTATATTGCCTCTTACTGTCATTTCTAGCAGAAGGAGCAGAAGAAAGGATGAGCCTAAGACGTCACCTTTGCTCCTTCTGGTCAGAATGCGAAAAGTTAAGGTGGCAGAAGATAATGAAACTATTTGTTAAAATGAGGTTCTTGGCTTCTCTGTTGGATTTCATTTATTCAAGCCACTCCAGATTTCCTTCAAGAGCTGAATTTAAGATGATGTTACTTTACCTATTATATGAAAATGTTGTACATTGTTACATGTATATAGATGGTCTTATATACTTAGACTCCAAATTACGCTAGACAACCAATACCATATATGAAACTGAATAAAATATCGTGACTAGGATAAAAACAAGTGTAGATACTTGAATATCTGTATCTTAATTGTTTTCCAGGGAAAGGGGATGTATTTGGAGACATCTTCTGGAAGGAAACCACCCTTGCTCATGCCTGTGCCAATGTCCGAGCACTGACATACTGTGACCTCCACATCATCAAGCGAGAAGCCTTGCTTAAAGTCCTGGACTTTTATACAGCTTTTGCAAACTCATTCTCAAGGAATCTCACTCTTACTTGCAATCTAAGGAAACGGGTATGTTGTCTGGACCCACTTCCACTTATTAGCATCTAGAGGGTTAATACCTTATATGCTATTAGTTGAAGAGTGGTAAAGTGATTTTATTTCATAGTAGCACATTCCCATCAATGTAAAGTGACATGATTTTTTCCCCCTTTCTTTATATTTTGTTTACTTTTTAAAGAGGGGATAAAAACCCTGAGTACATGGGTAGAGATTTGAATCTTTATCATTTAAGTGCAAAATGAAAAACAGACTTGAGGAGAAACAAACTGTACTATAATATAATTAGTTAATTCTTGGGGTTTATAATACTGCCATAAAATTAATATCAGTGTCTCTTACTTTATTATGTGGATCTTTTAAAGCTAGTAAGATTAATCAAACTGGTTGCCTACTTTATATGCCTGATTCTCTTTACACCCTCCCTCTCATTTAATAGTCAATTCATAAAGCTCATTCCCCATTAATTCTTTCAAACACACTATCTCAAAAAATAATTAGCCATACTGACATATCCTATAAATAGATTTAGGAATCCTTTACTTTGCATGGCTGCTGCAATTTTAATCTTCTTGCTGTTTTCTTTTTTATTGATGAGTGTGGCACAACTTTAATTTGCATAAAGAAACCTCCTAGCTCTGACTTATAGGTCATTGGACATTGGCGAGGGCTCTTTTATTGCCAACAGTGAAATAGATGTTTGGATAACAGCACTTAAGGAATTTCATCTAAGGTGATTACCTGTCTATGATGAAGTATTTTGAAATAACAAGCCTTTCCTTCCACTAACCCCTTAAATAGAACCTTCCTGCTAGTTAACATGGAGAAAAAAATCAATCCAAGAGACAAATTAACATCTATACTGCAGCAACAAAGAAATGTGCATAAGTAAGCAAATCAACGTAATTCTCTGCTCAGGGTTCTAAGAGAGGATAAGACTTCAGGAGTCATATTCGTACTAGTGTCACAACACTTGATTTATATTTGAATAGCAGTTTCAGTTTATATTTTGTTAACAAATAGTTATTGAGCATCCACAACCCGCAAGACAAAATGTAAAGAGCTGTAGAGAGCACGAGGACTAAATACACAGTCGCCACGCTCAAGGAGATGACAGCCAAGTGCAACTATTATGTGAAATGCAAATATGTGAAACATCTATTTGTACAAGTAATTGAGAGTTAAGGTAATGATAAACCTGGAAGAGGGGTACCAGACAGGGCACCTGCTCGTTCATTAGGCAGTCCTGTCTAGTATTACACAGAAATGTGTCTCCTTAGGTCTGTGTTCTACCTTCTCTTCTACAAGGCTACCTGGTGGGTATTTGAAACTCTTATGTCTTATTAAATCTTCCCAATATACATTTTGCCAGTTTTAGAACCTTCCCACGTACTACAAGCTTACGAAAACTCAGATCTGTCCTTACAGTCCTCAGGACAGATATTATTTGTCACTGTCCTCCTCAAAGCACTGTTGTCTACACATCATCTCATCTGATGTTTATAATATTCCTGTGGGGGAAAAAGGGCAGTTATTTTCCCTTCAAAACACATGAGGGAACTCAGACCTAAAGAAATTAATATTAAGTAACCGACTGATATATTTGCAATGAAAGGTGTCAAAGAGGGATAATTAAGAAAACTCACCAGTGGCAAATAAATTTTGGTTCTTCAAGATGAGTTAATCACAAAGCTCTATCATCTCTTTTTCTCTTTCACACATCTGAGCATGTGCACATTACACATGCGCACACACACACACGTTGGTTATAAGAGCTGAGCACACATACCAGCGTGTCTGTCTCTGATGGTGGTAGAGACAGAAAGCTCGTGCTGTTTTTTTAATGGGACCCAGGAACGGAGCTCCTGCCTCTGTAGGTGCCAGTGTGCTAGTTATATCACACGGCTTCTTCCCTTGTTCCTTGTTATAACGTGTCAGGTTTTTTGTTTGTTTATTTTTAAAAAATCTTTCTTGCCCTTTTGCAATTGATAGATGGTCTCAATAACTCGAATGTGGGTGTATTGCTAATCAGTGTCACTTTATTCTCAGAAAAAAAGTATTTTCATAAAGAAGAGAAACTGTAAAGAAATGATTCATGAGAATAGCTACCATTTTGAGAGCCTATTTTATAGCCATGCACGTCAACATATTTTGCATATAATAATTAATCTTATTAAATATCAACAACCCACAGACGAGGCAGTATAATCTCCATTTCATTGATGAGGAGGTTGAGGTTCTGAGAGTGAGGCAGCAAGTTGCCAAATAAATTACGGGTCAGAGTCCATCTCTTTCTGATTCTAAAACCCATATTCTTTAGATTATACCATGTTGCTTTTGTTTGCCAAAATAGCTGACTTTTTTTCCCCTACAACAATACCCTACAGGCACACTCTCAACAATGTACAGAGTTTCTCATTCACTCAATTACTTTAACTTCATTCCCCCATTGAGCTATTAACAAAAAATATTTTGTTCTTATTGCTACTATTTTCAGCATTCTTTCAGTGAACATTGGTTGTGAATCGTAGAATCAAGACTATGTCCTTAGCATGCTATTGATATCTCCTAGCTATCATAACCATTAATTAAGGGCTAGCTCCAAGTTGGGGGAGCAGATTTGGGACTCAGGGTTTCAGGCTTCATAGATTACAGCTCTAGCCACATAAGCACATACAGTGGCTCTATAGTGTGTAGTTCTCGGTGGCTGTAGTAGGGAGGAATTTGGTAATGCTTTAGCTGCTTGCCTCCGTCTCCATTAAGGAGAAATAAGACGTTTGTTATGCAAATATAGCTCCCACTAACCATCCTTAGGTCCCTCTATATAAAATTTCTAGAACTATAGCTGGTAATTTCATCCAAAAACTAGAGCAGGGGTTGGCAAAATTTTTCTGGCAAGGACCAGATAGTAGATATTTTAGAATTTGAGGGCCACACAGTTTCTGTCTCAACTACTCAACCCCACTATTGTAGCGTGATATTAGCTGTCTTAACTTGGGCTGCCATTACAAAACACCATAGATTGGGTGGCTTCACCAACAAGAATTTATTTCTCACAGTTCTGGAGGTTGTGAAGTCCAGGATCAAGGCGCTGGTCAATTCGGTTCCCCGATAAGGGCTCTTTTATTTCTGGTTTGGCAACGTCTGCCTTCTTGCTGTGCCCTCGTATGGTGGAGAGAGATAGAGAGAGGAAGCAATTTCTCCAGGGTCTCTTCTTACAGAGGCACTAATTTTATCATGAGGACCCTCATGACCTCATCTAAACCTAATTATCTCCCCAAGACTCTTTCTTCAAGTATCATCCCACTGGGGGATTAGGGCTTCAACATATTGATTTTAGGGGAACACAATTCAGTCCGTAGCAGCAGCCAAAGATAGTATATAAATAAAAGAGGATAGTTGTGCTTCAGTGAAACTTTACTAACGCAGGTGGCCTCTTATGGGCCTTAGTGTGGCAATAGCTGACAGTAGAGGACTGGAAGTTAGATGGGGATGACAGTAGGTATGCAAATAGAATTCTTCCCCTTTGTTAGAAAGCAAATCTCTACTAATTGCCACCCAGCAAGAGGGTCATAATGAAATGGAAAATGCCATATATAAGAGGTGGCTGCACACAAAAACAAAATCCAAACAAACAAAACAAAAAAAGAGGTGGCTACAGGGGCCAGGTAGATAACACACGTGAGTAAGGCAAGGCCATGTGGCTATGGAGACTGGAAAGTTCACACCATATGTAGAAGGGCCGCTGCTACTCAGTCTGCTTGTACATTGCCTTGGAATACCAGCCTACGGTTGCTTGGTCTGCATATTTTTTTTCAGACAAGCCAGAAGTATGAATTTTTATGTGAAATCACATTACTTTGGTAACTAATTTACTTTGTCTTTGAAAACACTATAGTCAAACAAAACAGATCTGCTTGCCCTTGGTCAACTGTTTGTGAACTGAATGGAATGATTTAAAGAACCCCTGATCTTATGATACTAGAAGCCTGAAATTTTTACCTGCATCCTGTAAATTTGGATGAGAAAAATTATTATATCGTTATTTTCTTTAATTTCTAAGTGAAATTTAGCCTTTTTTTCAATTATGAAAGTTGATAACAAACTACAGTGTTATTAGAAGTACCAAAAGACATTACAGATATTTCCATAGCATAATGTTTTTGTTGAAGACATCCTAAAATGTTGTTTGCACTCATCAGTACTTAATAATTATGATAGTTATTAGACCTGCTGTGATAATAATGTTATTGTGTTAATAAAAAAGCACATAGATTACTATCTTGCAAATCAGTTTTAAAATTTGATAACCGAATTTCAGTACAATATGTTTCCTTTGCAACACTATGTATTTTATTTTGTGCATTTAAAGCAGCTCCTCTGGAATGAGGCCTATTCCACAGGCTTTACCAGACTGCTGGAGATTAAGATCCCCCATATGAGAGTCAGAAACTTGACTAAGTTGAGCAAAAGGACTGGTTGGTATATGTTTTTCAATAATAAGAAGACAGTTCTATAGTTTCAGTATGTTTAAACATATTCAGAAGAGGCCTAGGAGAGCAACAGAGGAAGGTTGACTCACTTGCTGATTTTATTTATGATTTATTTATTTTACCTATTCAAGATACCATTTCCTGGAATGACTGAATGGTATTTATTAACTTGAGGACCAGCCCTCAGGGACAGGTCTGAGAAGGCACACAGCACAACCAGCACAGGTGATATGTAAATCTTAAAGAATTCTAATCAGACGTTAAACATAATCGCTGCACTTCTGCTCATTCTGCCTCCTGTTACACAATGATCTTTACCATTGTGTAAAAAGAGTAAATGTAGCAAGCCTGACTGCTGGACTTTGAAAGAACTGCTTACAAAGTGGGCCCTTGGCTGGCATCTGAGAACTTGAACTTCAAGAGAGTTCCCACCACTCTAATAAGAGTGGCTCACGGTACCTGCTACTTATCCAAACAGTGTGGCTTATGCTAAACATTTACTTTCCTTCAAGGAGTGTG